TACAGGCATGAGCCACCGTGCCTGGCTTATTCTTTATATATTATACATGGATACAGGCATATACACACATGCCCTTGGTATTCTTGAGATAGTGATAATGAAGTGGGATAGGAAGAAATAATTATATTTGCTTTTATTCACCTTTTTAAGTATTGTTTTGCTTGTTATGGTAGGTACATATTACTTCTCTAGTTTGAAAATAAAGAAAAATTAAAGGAATGTAAACTATGCTGTGAGTGTTGCTTGCCGTCATCCACTCTGCAGCACACAGCGTGGGGAATTCACGAGGCAATGGGAGCTAAATTTCTGGGCTGTCACTGGAGCCCAGGCTAACTCTGGCAGGGGAGTCCTAGGGACCATCTGACAGTCACACCTGTGCCTCTCAGGGCACCAGGCTTATCACCCTCTTACACTTAGATAAGAGGACACTTAGGTAATAAGGGAAGCTGTGCCTCCTTGGCAGGAAGGACCCTGACCAACAGGTGGGACATTTCTGTGGGCTGGGAGCAAACAGAGGTCTTCCTGCCAGATCAGGTGAGGGTGGCCACCTTGCAGGGAGGAGGCACAAATCAATTGCAGGGGAAAGAATTTGAGCTTGGGACCAGGTGCGGTGGCTCGCGCCTGTAATCCCAGCACTTTGGAAGGCTGAGGCGGATGGATCACCTGAGGTCAGGAGTTTGCTAAAATACAAAATCTGAAAATACAAAAATCAGCTGGGCGTGGCGGTTTGTGCCTATAATCCCAGCTCCTTTGGAGACTGAGGCAGGAGAATCATTTGAACCCAGGAGGCAGAGGTTGCAGTGAGCCAAGATGATGCCACTGCACTCCAACCGGGGTGACAGAGTGAGACTCTGTCTCAAAAAAAAAAAAAAAAATGAGCTTGGTGGAGGAGGGAAAAACCTTTCTTCTCCTTCAGTTCAAGGGCTGCCATTGCAGCAGGTGAAACAAAGCCCTGGCTGTGTGGGGTTTTGTGTTGCTTTATATTAGGTGAGCTGCTTTGAGGCAAAACCCTGTTTCCTGTGTCCCTCATGGGCCAGACACTGTGCCGGGGCTTGAAGTGTAGAAATAAGGCTGAGGTGGCCTCTGCCCTTCTGAAGGTCACAGTTGAGCTGGGGAGACAGATGGTACAGGAGATCCCGGACCAACAGAGCATCGCCACACGTGGCAGTGACGGCTCCACAGGAAACCCACTAGGCATGAGGGTGAAGATCAGGGCTAGGACCGCTTTGGACCGGAGGCGCTGTCTGGCAGGTCTTTCTGAGCAGAGGATATTTCAGGCAAGTCAAGGATGAAGCAGAGGGGCTGACAGTGAATAGCGGGATGAAGGAGACCCAGGAGGTGGGCCTGGCGCGTGTCCTGTTCGCCTGCAGAGCCATGAGCTGGGCTGCTGGGTAAGGGTAGGGTGTGAGAGGCTGGCTTCCCGTTCAGGAGTTTGACCTTCTCCCAAATGCAAAGGGTAGGTAGTGTGCTCAGAAATCCAACGATGGAGCGCCTCTGCCTCCACTCAGCGCCTACTACAAATGCGCTGAATGAGCAAAAAACAAATACAGTAGATGGATGTTGCATGCTCAGAAACATTCCATTTTATTTTATTTTTAAACTTTGGTTTCGATTTCTATTATATAAAAAGTCACTTCCATTTAGATTTGTTTTCACTGCAAGACCAAGCTACAGTGGGGAGAACAGGGTCTGGTGTGTAGCCACGTGCCTGCAGCTAGAGGGACGCAGCCTGAGATGTCCTCCCACTGCCTGGACCTCATGAAGTGCTTTCACGAACCAATCTGTCCCCTTTGTCGTCACCAGACATGCTAGGCTGAGCAGGTATTCATATGGTCTCCACTTTGAAAGTAAGGATGCAGAGCCTGGGAGAATGGAAAAGACTTGGCAAGGTCTCTGGAACATGTGCCTGTGTTCTGGTGAGCTTTCTGTGAGCCTGAGGCAAACGGTGGCCACATTCAGAATTACTTGGGCTCCTAGCAGTGGCCTCAGAGGCCTTTGCTGGAGGAGTCTGTGGTGAGCGGGAAGGAGCTTAGGGTGGCTCTGATAGACCATCCCCACTCCCCTTACCACTTCCACACAGTTAAGTCCTTGGTTGGTGCCTGCTCATCAGGTGGACTCCATCTCCCTAACCACACTCTGTGCCCACTGGGTGTCCACATCCTAAACTTCATTAGGACTCTGAAGTCCTGAGGTTGGGGAGGGACCAAAAAGATCAATGGAAGTTGTGGCTGTCTCCCCCATCCCTACACTTAAATGTTTGTGACTGGAATGATTCTGGATATGCCGACTGTCTACTGATGAGCATCTTGGTCCTCTGGTATCCTGAAGTCCTGGCCCAGTCTCCTCCTTGGACTTGTTTCCAAGGGAGTCTACTGTGATCACTAGGATCACCCCTTATCATGTGAGGTTCATTTAGGTGTGTCAGCATTTGGGGACACGTGTGACATTCAGAATAGCTAGTGTAGATCTTCAACTACCTTCCATTCTATGTTTCCTGGCAGGAGTCCACTGGTAATTCTTTGAAGCAAAACAATACTTTTGCAACTTAATCTTCAGCATTTGGAATACAGTATCTCTTGTCTGAGCTTGAATGGAAAGAACCCACAGTCTGTGACTTCTAGCCATTTAGAAAAATGGCGGTTGCCCTAAGACATGAACTTGGCATTTGAAATCAGCAGACAATGAGGAGTTAGTGTAATGTAAAGAGACAAACATGGGATTTGGATATGGGGAGGGCTGGGTTCCACATGCTTTTCACTTGCTGTCACAGGACTTTGGAGTGGACAATTTTCATGATCTCACTAAAGCCCATTTTTATCACCTTTTAAATGGGGGATAATACCATCTACCTCATAATATATTTGTGAGGATTAAAAGAGAGGAATTAAAATACCTGGCACATAAGAAACACTAAAGAAATATTAGTTTCTCTGCCCCTTTACTCTTAATGATTTAATTAATCACTCCAAAAATAGAACATTCTTCAGAATAGACTCCTACCCATTTGTTGTTGATGGGACATCCAAAGGGATGTGCAGTTCTTTTGTTTGGTGTATAATAAGTTGACTTTGCACTTTAAAAGGGGAAAAAGGAAACCTCTGGTACCTCAAACAACGACCCTTTTAAAGTCTGCGCTGGACACCATTCTCAAAGAATATTCTTATTAACATACTTTCTTATAAATGGAGCTCTACTGATCAAATATGTATAAGTTAGTAGCCTGCAGAGTCAGAGCAGTGCTTGGCAAACCTGAGGACGTTTCCCATGTGCGCTGTGGGATGGCATAGGCAGGGGATACCCTTTAATTTTGTGACATGGTTTGGGGGGGCTCCAATGTGACGTACTCTTGGCATGGTTTCTTCCAGCTCTGGGCCTGTTCTGGGGCCTGTCAGGACTCCCACATATCCCATCCTTGCAGGCAACTCCCTTTGAAGTCCATGGGAACTCTTTGAATGGAAAACATACACAACGGGGTGTTGATGCCAGTAAGAATCAGGCCTGATGTATGCGAGGAATAAAGGTGCTTCTCACCCCAAATATTAGCTCTTTAGCCCAGAAACTATGGTTTGATCATTAAATAAAAGAGCACTCCCCTCCTCTCACAATCCACCACCAAAGCTCCACCATCCATTTGCTCTGGAGATGATAAACCTGCTAATTGCTGGAGAGTTTTAATTAAGCAACAGATAGAGACAGTGTAGGGCTGTGTTTTTACTTTAAACATATCAATAGAATAAACATTCTCAATTCCAGGGCAACTTGCTAAATGAAAAAAAAAATAAACATTACTTTCTTTTGAAATATCACTCATTGGGTGTGATAATTTAGAAAAATATCCCTATTAGAGATAGTTAGGGACGTTTTTTCTTTTTCTTTTTTTCTTTTTTGGTTGAAAATGCAATCGCCGATGGAGCACAAAGCTGCAATTTGTAGACAGGTTAAGTAAATTAAATCACTCACTGTCTTTTTCTTTTTTCCAATGGCTTTAAAAGTTAAAGGTAATTTGCAAAGAAAATGCTCAGTTTGAATTGGTTTGTAATATCTGTTAATGATCTTTAAAAAAATCCACTTATTCACAATTCTGTCCCTGGGGGAATTCCGATGTGCTATCAGAAAAAATTTCTAAAGTCTGAAATGTCATTAGCTGGTGATTTCTTTGAAGTAAAAAGCCCCGAAAAAAATAAATTATATAAGGTATACAAGTGCACAGGACAATCACTTTGATGAATAGTATCTCTTTTTTCGTAATGTTTCATACCTAAAAATGCAACAATTGAAATTCAAGCTGGTAAATTATAGAGCCATCTTTTGAATTACCTCAATGTAGGCATGCCTTCTGTTTATTTCTCACATATATTGAGTTCTTCCATGTATTTATAGATTGTTGATATAAAAACAGTAGTGTTAGGAACAATTTTGATTATATTCATTGTGTTTACTTTTTGGAAACACAAGGTGTTGCCTAAATACAGGCATACAGGTGTTGCCATCCGGGGATTAAAACAATAGCCTATTTCAATATTCCATCCTGGATCCCAGAGCCAGGTGCCGTGAATGGAGGTGCAAATGCTACTCAGCCCGGGAGAGTTGTTCAATATTAGATAACAGAGCCGTGAAATACTACACCAAAGGGAAAATTTTCTTCCTGACCCCAGCTGGTGATCAGTTTTTGCCTGGAAGCAGGGGAGTCTTTGTAATACAATACTTGTCAATGTTGCTGGTTTGGCTGCTATAAATAGCTTTTTTTTTTTTTTTTTGGAGGATGGGAGGAGTTGGATTTTACTAAACCGTTGGCTACAGGTTAATTATACATTTCACACAAAAGCATTTCTTGTAGCCAGTCTAAATTTGTTACGTTTTAATCCCATTTTATATAAGGCTAGAAATATATGAGCCTCCAGCAGGCCCGTTATTATTGTCATTATTTTATACATTGGACCTTCAGCTCTCTCTCTCTCTCTCTTTTTCTTTTTCCTCTCTATGCATTACTCACCTCTTAGCCAAATTGCAGAGGGTCCCAGTTTCATTCATTCTCCCTCACAGGGAAGGCATTCACTTCCTCTTCCTCCAGCGGCCTGAAAATCATATGTGTGGTTTTTCCTCTTTCCTGCTCTGTAGCTGACATCAGGGGAGCAAACTGAACACAGGTAAGAGCCAGCTTGGTTAGCAAATTAAAATTGATTGATTTTAATGAAGATATTCTATAATATTTTCTTATTCTCTTTATTTACTTAAAGGAAAATGGAAATCAACATTTGAAACTTTTAAATGGAAGCTTTATTGGGGTTCCACATATGGAAAACTGCAAATAGCAGAAGTGTGTGACTTGATAAATTAATCTGGAGTGACCACATCCTCTAACTTTCTCCCAGGACAAGAAGGAGAATGTGAACAATGCTCCTGAAGGCCCCTTTCCCTCAAAGGTAACCATTGGCCTGACTTCTGACACCATATATTTGTTTTGCTTTTTTTGAAGTTTATGTAAATGGAATCATATGATAGGTATTCTTTTTTAAATTTCATCTTTATTGTGATAAGAACATTAAACATGGATAGGTGTTCTTTTGTCTGTCTTCATTCTCTCAACATTATTTTTGTGTCTATGTTGTTGGGTGTACTAATAGTATGTTTTCCTTGTTATATTTTCTTCCCTTTTATCCTTATATAAGTAATATAGCACAATTTATCATTTTTTTTTTTTTTTTTTTTTTGAGATAGGGTCTTCTTCTGTCACCTAGGCTGGAGTACAGTGGCATGATCTGGCTCATGGCAGCCCTGACCTCCTGGGCTCAAGTGATCCTCAGACCCAGAGTAGCTGGGACTACAGGCTCATGCCACTATGCCCTGCCCGGCTAATTTTCTTTTCTTTTTTTTTTTTTTAAGAGACAGGGTTTTGCCATGTTGCTCAGGTTGCTTTCAAACTCTTAGACTCAAGTGATCTGGCCATTTTGTCCTCCCAAAGTGCTAGGATTACAGGAGTACACCACCATGCTCGGCAGTTTATCCATTTTACCCTTGATGAACATTTGAGTTGTTTTGAGTTTTAGGCTATTTTCAGAGAGTACAGCCAGAAACTTTCTTGTGCATGTCTTCAATGCTTGTGTATATGCATTATGTTTAGTCTATACATAGACTAAAGGGGAAGTCACCAAATTGTAGAACATGACTATGCTCAACTTTAATAAATAATGCCAAAGAGTTTTCCAAAGAGATTGTGTCAATTTCCACTCTTACCAGCAGTGAGTGATGTTCTACATCCCTGCTAGCACTTGGCATTCTCAGTCTTCTTGATTTTGGTCATTCTGGTGGTATGTATAGAGTCTCACTGTGGTTTTAATTCCATTTTCTTGGATTATTATTACATTGAGCATCTTTTTCATGTATAGTGGCTATTTGGATATTCTCTTTTGTAAATAGTCATATTAAGTCTATTTTTCTATTGGACTTTTCATCTTTTCTTATTGATTTGTAGGAGATATATATTCTGGATATAGCTTTTTGGTTATATATGTTAAAAATATGTACCACTCTGAGCTTGACTTTTCGTTCTCTTTGTAGTGTCTTTGGATGAATAGAAAATCTTAACTTTTTTCTTTTGTTTTGTTTTGCTTTTTGAGATAGGAGTCTTGCACTGTTGCTCAGGCTGGAGTGCAGTGGCTCAATCATGGCTCAATGCAGCCTCAATCCCCAGGGCTCAAGTGATTCTCTTACCTCAGCCTCCTGAGTAGCTAGGACTACAGGCATGTGCCACCATGCCTATCTAATTTTTGTATTTTTTTTTGTTGTTGTTATAGATATGGGGTTTTGCCATGTTGCCCAGGCTGGTTTTGAGCTCCTGGACTCCTCAAGTGATCCTCCTAACTCAGCCTCCCAAAGTGCTAGGATTACAAGTATGAACCACTGTGCCCAGCTGATTTTAATGTTAATGTTAATATAGTCTATTTTCCTTGATGGTTAATGTTTTCTGTGTCCTATTTAGCAGAGCTTTGCTTACTTCAAGGCCATGATAATATCCTTTCATATTATCTTTTGTAAGTTGTGTTGTTTCACCTTTCACAATTGGATCTACAATCCGCATGGCATTGATTTTTGTATATGGTGTGAGGTTGGGATCAAGTTTTGTTCTTTACTCCATGATATCTACTTACCCTTCATGATGAATGGGAAAGACTTCCTTTCTCCATTGCTATGCAGAGACACTTTTGTCATAAATTAAGCATCCACTTCTTTATAGAATGATCATTTTACTTTTTTCCTTTATTCTGTTAGCATGGTGAGTTATTCAATGGGTTTTTGAATGTTAAACCAATCTTGCATTTCTGGATTAAACTCAACTTGGGTGTGATGTAATACTTATCTTACGTATTGCTGCATGTACTTTGGTCATATTTAAAAAAAAAATTTTATAGAAATGTTTATGAATGAAATTTACCTGTAACTTTCTTTTATTGTAATGTCTTTGTCAAATGTGTTATCAAGGTTCCATTGGCTCATAAAACAAGTTGAGAAGTATATAGTCTTTTAGAAATTAAAACATAAATGAGTCTAATCTCATATAGTAATTAAACATATATGTAATTTATCCTGAGAAGGACTCACTACAGTTTTCTGTCTTTCTATGTTCCTGTGTGTTTTAACTTAGACTTTTAGCAAGAAGCTGATTTTGTGTGAGTTTTGCATGGGAAAATAAATAGGAATTAGGCTATCTTCTAGGAGTTTCCATATGGCACTCAGCAGTATGTTCATGTGCCCAAGGCTGAAATTTGTTACGGCATCTCAATCCTCAAACCCATAATCAAGGCTCATCAGTTGAGAAACCTTTTTGGACATATGACAAGTGTTCAGATAAAATATCTGATCCCTGCCAAGAATTTTCTAGGCCAATTTAATCTCTGACTTTTGACCTTATCAGTCACTGCTCCACAGACTTTTTAATTTTTATTTTTAAAATATCCTTTAGTAGCATGCATCTCATTCCTCATCCCAGATCTCCTTTTCTACTTAGTATTGTCCCAGTTCAAGGCCTTGTCACCTCTTGCCTGGGCAATGGCATCTATGGGATACTATTCTCCATTTCATCTTCTTCTCAGCCATGCAGGTGCTGACTCTGAAATAGAAAGCTAACCACCTCAGTCCTTTGCTGAAAACTAGGTGATTTCTGTATTGCTCTGCAAGATGAAGTTCAGGTTTATCAATGTGGTGCAGGTTCTTGCATGATCTGGTGTCTTAGTCCATTCAGGTTGCTTAACAGAATATCTTAGATTGGGTAATTTATAAACAATAGAAATATATTGCTGGTAGTTCTGGAGGCGGGGGAGTCCAAGATCCAGGCATCAGCAGATTTGGTGTCTTGTAGGACTCCATAGATGGCACCTTGTTGCTGCGTTCTTACGTGGTGGAAGGGGCAAGGAAGTCCCCTGGATCTTCTTTTATAAGGGCACCAGTCTTACTCATGATGGGGGAGCCCCCATGACTGAATCACTTCCCAAAGGCCTTACCTCTTAATACGATCCCATCAGGTATTCGGTTCCAACATGAGTTTTGGAAGGATACCAGCATTCAGACCATAGTACCTGGCTCTTGCTCACCTCTTCAGTCTGCTCTCTTGTCTCACTCTAGTCTTTGGCTTTACATTCCTGCAACTCTGTCTTCTGGTTCAACTGTGTGTGCTCCCTGTGGTTCTCTGTGCCTGTGCCTTTTCCTGTGCTGACCTTTCTCCCTGGAATAGACTATCCATATCCTTCTGGACAATCCATTCTTTAACAGCCAGTTCAGGGTAGGTAACCTTGCCCTCCACCCAGCTGGGCTCCTTGCCTCTCCTTTCTGCCCATGTGTCTGTCTGTCAGACTGGACTGTGAGCTCTTTGCAGGCAAGGTCTGGATTTTAGTCACTTATGTACACCCATAATTTCCTGTTTGCTGGTAGATAACAGGTGCTCAATAAACAATGATAGATCCAAACAGAAGGAAGAATGGTGACTAATTGACTATTCTGAATCTAATTTCATTTCTTTTTGGAAGGCTGAGATGGAATAAAATGGTCAAAATGCCATGACCAGAAGGGAGGCAGGAAGGCAAAGGCTCGGGAAGATCTGTAGATACAATCTCTTCCTGTATAACTGAGTTCAGTCTAGCTGATTAAAATCCTCTTATGGTGGAATCTGCTTTTTATAGAATGGATTAGCAACAAGGATTTGCTGTGAAGATAGATTTTTCCAGAGAAACAAATTTGAGCAATTTAAGAATTTAAATGGAAAAAAAAAAATCCTGCCCAAGAAGCAAATTGACCAATATCCTCCCCCCATCTCTTATTAATAAAAGAGTTTACACAGACACTCTTTATGAAATCATGTGAGAGATTCACAAGGATCATTAAGTCTCGGCTAGTCATTCACTTTCACTTTGTAAAATTGGCTATACCCTCAAAATGGTATCACGTAGAAACGGACTTTCTGGGGCTCTTATCTATGAATGGGTTCTAGCTGCACAGTGATGCCATTCATTTTATTTGGCCCATTTATTGCAAGTACATTCTAAATTTGGCCTTAATTATTTTTCCTTTCACAAAAATATTTTGTGGGATCTTTTTGAACCCTGACTACTTCCTTCTTGCCCCTTAAAACAGAAGCCAGGAGCATTATTTTTGTTCTCTTCTAATTAAAATAATTGCTTGGCTCCTTTTAACTAGATTCATGCAGTTATTAGCCTAATACATGGATGGGTGCCACGGAGTGCTTGAGAAACAAAATGAAAAGTGATCATGTAGCTTCACATGAAAAAGATTCTGTGGTGCCAAGGAGCATTATTTCCTTTCAGCCGGTATTTTATAAGGGCTTTCGTAAACCTGGCCCCCATACCCTCACTAAAAGACTATTAAGTGAAAGAATAGTTCTATTTTCTTTATTAAGGTATACAACTAGCTCAGTACAATTTGAAGAGGGGCACTTGATATGCTGAGCATGGCATAAAGACCTTGGGTCTGGTTTTAATCTCTGCCCCGGCTTTGTCTTTCAGAATCACTGCAGTTGAAGGAAAAATGCTCCGTGTCCCCTCTGCTGGTTGGTATTTATCAAAGGACGATGGAGGAAGAGAGACAAAGTGCCTGGATGTGTGTGTTAATCAAGAGTTGTCAGGACCCTGCCTCTAAAAGAAAGTGCTAAAATGATGCTTTTGACAAGACTTTTCTCAAAGTGGATGCAGTCTAAGGGTTGGAAAACAAGTCCCAATCAGGCTAGGTGCGACTTGTCGCCTGCTTTCGTAAATAAAGTTTTATTGGCTCACAGACACACCCATTTGTTTTGTATTATCTATGGCTGCTTTCGCTCCACAACATGGAGTAGTTGTGAAAGAGACCATATGGCCGACAAAGCCTAAGATATTTACTCTCTGGCTCTTGACAGGAAAAGTTTGCCAATTCCTGATGTTCTCCATCCAGTTCATTAACAATACCTTCTCCATAATGAGAAATAAATTTGTAGGTATTTTTATGTAGTACTTATTTGAAGAAATGCTCAGGGCCTTTGGCTGTGAGTTAATTTTATGAGTATTCGGAGCAGGTATATGGAAGACAGGCAGCAAGAATGATTTAAGGTAAGAAGTCATGATTAGAGATAAGATTCTGCCATTATTGTCTCAGGGGTAAATCACTGATTATGGCCATCTTTTTCTCTGCCTGCTCTCTGGAGAAGAAGGTGTACACATATCTGGGATTTCTAGCTTGGAGCACACCTTTATTAACTACATCAAGGCATTATGGTCAACATTGTGGACTTCTGCTTCCAGGACAAAAGATGAACATCCTTTCCCACCATTTGGTGGTTGGGCGGATCAAGTGAGAGAATGTGAATCCATGTGTTTTCTAAATCATATAGGTACTGTATTTGTGGTATAGATGCTATCTATAAAACTTTAGAATAAATTATCATCCCTATTTGGCATGCGAGGAAATGTGATTTAGGTAGCATGCCCGAGATCATATAGTAAGCCAGTAGAACAGCTGGCAGTTACTTCTCCTGGCTTTAAGTCACTGCTCTTTCCGGTATACCATAATGCTTCTTTACATCATGTCTTTTTCTATAGTTTTGGAAATGTTCAGTCTTTTAGTTCACTGGTTCACTCATTCATCTGCTATTTAACATCATTTAGGAGCCTTGTATGAGCTAGAAAAAGAGCTGAAATTTTCCAGGGAGTGATGACTGTATAAAGATGAGTTGTAACGCTTCAGTTGTTTTGCTCTTAGACTCCTGTGGCTGGAATCCTCCAGAAGTCCATAGATTCTTCTTCTGGTTTTTTCTGTGCTGTCCAAGGAGTTGGCTTTTATTTGTGCCATGAAGGAAGAGAAAGTAGATGAACTTGGAGAGGGAGAGTAATCCTATTGTTCTAAAAATGTTGCCTGACACCTTGTTTTACATTGTGTGCATCTGCATGTCTCTTGAGTGCACATACCATGAGAGGAGAGAGAAAGAGAGATACTGAAATGTTGATAGCACATTGTTCCAGCAACTAAAATATGAAAATGATCCAGGCTTGGGAAATGTGAAAGCTAAGATTTTGTACATAAAGTCCAAGTGAATCCATATCAAAGAAATTTCAGATGTGAATTACCCAGCTAAGCAACATATATTAAACAAGAATGCGGCAGATATAGGCTTATTTTATCATACCGTTCAATACAGTTCTTCATTCAGATTATATTTATTCAATGATGTGTCTTGTAATTTTTGAGATGAGATGATAACCTGCTGGAGGAAGCAGCTTCGGCCAAAATATTGGATTTGCCTTGTCATAGTAAGAGAAGTACTTAAAGGTTTCTGATTTTGATATTTGCCCTTTTAGTGGGGGAAGTTTGCCAATATTTTCCTTATATTCAATGTTACTAGATACTTGTTGTATGAGTTTGTTCTTACACTGCTATGAAGAGATACTCCAGACTTGGTAATTTATAAAGAAAAGAGGTTTAATTGACTCACAGTTCTGCGTGGCTGGGGAGACCTCAGGAAACTCACAATCATGGTGGAAGATGAAGCAGGTATGTCCCTCTTCACATGGTGGCAGGAGAGACAAGTGCTGAGCAAAGGGGGAAAAGCCCCTTAAAAACCATCAGATCTCATGAGAACTCACTCACTATCATGAGAACAGCATGAGGGTAACTGCACCCATGATTCAGTTGCCTCCCACCATGTGTCCCCCCCATGATACATGGGGATTATGGGAACTACAATGGGCTATGGTGGGGACATAAACTGTATCACTTGTTCTTATCAGATTTATTGGTGAACCTAAAAGTCATATGATTCTCTAAAACAAAGGTGCCAATGAAGTTGCCTAATGAAAAAAACAACCTTCCAGAATCTTCCATTATACAGTTGTCACCTACAAAGACCTCTGAGCGGTCCTGTAGAAAGTTCTGCCTTACTCTCCTTGTTTCCCCCACAAAAGGCAGTCTCAGCTTTGCTGACTGAATATGGAGGTGATAGTATCAATTCTGTGATTCATCCATAAAGTATGCCACCTCTCAGATATTCCTAGGACCCAGGACACTGCTGTTTTAAGAAACATAATTTGTTTCATCATGCAAAAGGCATATCCTTAGCAGGACTTAGTGCTGCTACAGATAAGACATTTTGTCTGTAAGGAAGTCATCAACATTAATTTATTTAACTTTCTTCTAACAGAGTGAATTTTCTTCCATTTGCTGTGGAGCACACTTCTTTCTAATTCTATTCACTTAGCAGGTATTCTACTGAAAAAATTGTCACCACATTGGCAATGTTTTGTAGAGGGGAAATAGATTTTTCAACAGAGTGTAAGATTCCACTGCAATGGAATGTGTGTAAGTCTGTTTTTAATGATTGCGCAATACTGTGGAAGAAAGTTAAACCTCTTTGAAAACGGTACTGTGTTACTACTATTACTATGACTATGACTATCATTACTGTGTGCACTGTTCTTAATGGCTTAAGTCTATTACACTGAGTTTCCCAGAAAGTAGAGCTTGAGGAAAATCTCATGTGCTGCCTCTTTCGTGGAGAGTTCCATCCCAGAGGAGTAGGAGTTCGGAAGAAAGGGTAGTGTGGCTGAAATGCAAGGAGCAAATACAATGGTGTGTTTTTGATGTATTTGATGACATGTAGCTGTCATCAAATGACATGTAGCTGACTGCTCCATCACCTGGGGCTGTGGTAAGCTAAACATTGGCCCCTAAAGAAATATCCACATCCTAATCCCTGGATCCTGTGAATGTTACCTTATATGGCAAAGACTTTGCAGATGCCATTTAGGATCTCGAGATGCAAGATTACCCTGGGTTTTCTGGGTGATTGCTACAGCCCAACACAAATGTCCTTGCAAGGAGGATGCAAAGGCAGGTTTGATACACAGAAGAGGAGAGGGCAGTGTGATCAAGGAGACAGAGATCTGAGTGATGTGGTCATAAGCCAAGCCACAGTCACCAGAGGCCAGAGTAGGCAAGGAAGGAATTCTCCCCTAGGGCCTCTGGAGGGAGCACACCCCCCGCCAATGCCTTGCTGTGAGCCCAGTGATACTGATTTCACACTTCTAGCCTCCAGAACTATAAGATAATACATTTATATTGTTTTTAACCACCAAGTTAGTGGTAATTTGTTACAGCAGCTACAGGAAACTAATACAGGGACCATCCTCCCAGAGCATAAGTGACTAAATCTCAGGACAGACTGATTGGGTGGAGGGAGAGTGACGAAGGGAAAAGAATTTGTTTGCCAGCTTCAGCCTCTGATTGATTGGTAAGTGGCTTTTGCCATGGGTTATTAATCTTCCTTTATTTCCTCCTCTTACCTCTGGACTGAGCATGGTTGTGCACTGAGTTTTGCTGGGATATCTCATGCTTCAGGGGCAACAGAGAAGCCCCAGGGTGGGAGGAGAGAAGCCAGGCAAGGTACCCAAGGAGAGGCTCTGCGGGATCATGTGCTCTACAGTCTATTGTAAGGCAGCTGCGGTGAACAACTGGTCAATGGCCCTGGGCAATGTGGCAGAGTTGGCACCTGAGAGATAGCTGGCAGGGGGGTCTGAGACAATGGTCTTCTTAGTTGGCACCACAACTCCACAAGGCAGGGGGATATGATGTCTTCAACAGGCTTTCATCTTAAAGTCTTGAATCCTGCTAGCTTGTGGATCCTGCTGCCCCTCAGGGCTGCACTTTCAACTCCCACTGGAGGAAAAACTTGTCTTCTTATAGCTCTATGATTGACTCTAGTTTTCCTTCTTTCTTTCTTTTTTTTTTTGAAACAGAGTCTTGCTGTCGCCCAGGCTGGAGTGCAGTGATGTGATCTCGGCTCACTGCAACCTCTGCTTCCAGGGCTGAAGTGATTCTCCTGCCTCAGTCCCTAGTAGCTGGGATTACAGGTGCACACCACCATGCCCAACTAATTTTTGTATTTTTAGTAGAGATGGAGTTTCACCATATTTGCCAGGCTGGTCTTGAACTCCTGACCTCAAGTGATCCACCCACCTTGGCCTCCCATAGTGCTGGGATTACAGGCGTAGCTTTCCTTCTTGATGTACATAAAATAAGGCTCATTCTTATACATGAAAGCTCTCTCCAAATATTTGAAGATTGTTTTTATCTGTTTTTTTTTCCCCAGGCAAAACAGTCCTAGTTTTTTCAACTTGGCTTTGTGGAGGAGTTTTCTTTTTGTGTCTGGTGGCCACACCAGCCCCCTGCTCTGGATAAGCTGTAGTTTGCCTTCCTCTCACCTTACAAGGCAGCTCACAGAATGCACCAGAAATTCGGGTATGGTCTGCTCAAACACACAGTACTTTGACTTCATGAATGTTGCCAGAGATGGATTTTATTTTATTTTATTTATTTTTGCCAAACACATCATTTTTATTTGTTTTATGCTGAGTGTTGATTAAAATGCTCTTTTATACTTGGGTATAGATACCTATATAGAAGCTCATAGTTTTAAAGGTACCCAAAGAGCCTGAAAGAGTCAATCTATTTGCAGATGCTATCATTATAGGTAAAAGATGAAAATGCCACCCCACATCAGGGCACATCAACATTCACAGTTTTATGCTGAATTGAGGTCAGTAGGCGATTCCCACAGTTTGGAACCAATCAGCCATGCCAGCCTGGGGAGCATTCTCAGTCAACCCTGCCTACCACCAACCCTTCCCCATAAAAAACCAACTTCTGAAGGAGCTTCTGGAGGTAGATTTACCCAGGTGGGAATGTTCCCTTTCACATCTCTAGCAGTCAGCACTGATTTGGATTCTGTTCTTGGTCCAGTCCAAGTCCCCAGGGTC